AAAAAGATAAACAACCCAAATTTTTAACAAGGGCCAGTGACTTGAGCAGATACCTCGTCAAAGAGGACATAAAGATGGCCAATAAGCAGATGGAAAGATGCTCAGTGTTATTAACCATTAGGGAAAATGCAAGTTACAACCACAATGAGATACCATTTCACACCACTAAGTTAGCCATGATCAAAAACAAAAACAAACCAGAAAACAACAAGTGTAGGTGAGAATGTAGAGAAATTGGAACGTTTGCACAGTTGTTAGGGATATATATAATGTGCAGTTGCTATGGGAATCATTTTAGTGTTTCCTCAAAAAGTTAACCGGAATTACCCTATGACCAGCCATTCCAGGCCTAGATATATAAGCAAAATAACTGAAAACAGGTACTCAGACAAATATTCATATATGCACATTCATAGCAACACTACACACAAAAGCTAAAAGCCAGAAGCAACTTAAATGCCCATTAACTGATGAATGAATAAATAAAATGTTGTCTATCCACACCCTGGAATATTATTCAGCCATAATAAGGAATAAAGTGCAGGTACATGCCACAGGATGGATGATTCTTGAAAACTCCACGCTTGGGCTTGGTGAAAGAAGCCACAAGCCAAAGGTCACATACTGTATGTTTCCATGCATAGGAGACACACAGAAAAGGCAAGTCCATAGAGTTAGAACACAGGCGGGTGGTTGGTCACCAGGGGCAGAGGAGAGGGCGGAATGGAGAGCAACTGCTTCGTGGGTTCAGGGTTTCCTTTTGGAGTGAGGAAAATGTTTTGGAACTAAATAGAGGTGATGTTTGCGGCACATTGCAAATGTACTAAATGCCACTGAATTTTACACTTTAAAATGGTTACTGGTTATGCTATCTGAATTTTACCATAAATAAGAAAAAAAGGAGACAAGAGTCCCCTCAGGGAAGAAGAGATTAGAGAGAGAAAAATGAGAGGCAGCAGGGGGTGGGTGTGGGGGCCATTTCCCCAGACACTCTCTGAGACTTCACCCCCCCCCCCCCGCCCAAAGGTCTGTCTCCCTCCCCAGTGCTACTCTGAGTGCTGTGAGGTCAGTGACTAGGCCCAAGAGGTGCTCAGACTTTCTGAGGCTCAGGCGTCCTTGGCTTTGCTTTCTCTTGCATGCCTCATACCCAATGTGAACAACAGAAAATTCTATTGTTTCAACTTCATAACAAACTGCAAATCCTACCAAAATCCATAGCCGCTGCTTCTAGCCTAGTCTGAGAGCCCAGGGCCTCTCACCAGATTACTGTAGCAACCTCCTTCCTCACTGATCTCCCTGCTTTTGTCTTGACAGCCTCATCTCATTACAGCTGCCAAGCAACCCTGCTAAAACCTAGATCAGATCATCTCCCTCTGCCTAAAACATTCCTTGGCTCCCACCTCCCTCAGAGCAAGGCCACAGCGGTACAAAGGGCCTTGTGTGGTCTGGCCCCTGATCGTCTTCTGACCCCATCTCTTGCCAGTCTCCTCCCCACCTCCATTTCCTCCGATCCAGTGGCAAATACTGTTTCAGAATACACTGGAGATACTCCTGCCCCAGGGCCTTTGCACTTGCTGATCCTTCTACTTGGAATGCCCTCCCTCCACATGCCCACATAGCTCACTCCCTCACTACCCTCAGTCCATGATCACATGTCAGTAAGCCCCTCCTTAACCTCCCTATTTCAAACCGCAGTCCCCACCACCCCCTTTCCTCCTGTACTTTTGCCCACCGCACTGAGTGCCTCGTAACACAGCATATCATTGACTGGATTATCACGTCTATTGGCTGACTCCGCCGACCTAAATACCAGCTCCCTAAGGAGAGGGACTCCATCTCTTTTGTTCTAGCCTGTCTTCCCTGGAACACAGCACAGTGTTCATTAAATACTTACTGGATTAAAAAAAAAAATACCTGCTGGATAAACGTATCCCAGGCACTGCACAAGGTCAAGATATCAGATCAGCATCACGCTACCCCACACCCCAGGCAAACTATCACTGGGATTAGCAGAAGGCACAAACCTGGCACTGGCCCAATCCAACCACCACCCTCAATGGGGCCAACTCTGGGCCTTGCACACAGTAGGTGCTCAATAAAAATTTCTTTCCCTGAACAGACATCACCTGGCAAACATCAGGCTACTGCATCTCGGTCAATGCTTGAATGATTAAGCATCAAAGGCCGCCCCAGGACAGGGCAGGCATGAGCCCTGGAACATGGGTGGGGGACAGAGTGAGGCGGGCCAGGGGAGAGGGTGACGTCTCACAGCACACACACAACAGCCAAGGAAACCTGCAGGGACTCTCCAGGGCACTGTTCCAGGTGCCCGCAACAGAGAGAGAAAAGAAAAGGAACATTGCAGATGGGGGGTGCGGAGAGAGCAGGGGATGAGTGCGGGCAAGGGGGATGTTCCTGAGCCACAGCCCCTAAATGTCAAAATGCCTGAAATGGGCATGGGTCCCACGTGATCATCAAGGGCACCTCACACCATGACACTCTCCCATGGTACCTGGTACAAAATCCAAACTCCTCCCACAGCTTGCAAGACCCAGTGTGGCTGGTGCTGCTAGCCTCCCTGACCACATCATACCACCTCAAGCACCCTTCTCCCCTTTAGGAGGCAAAGTCCCCTCCCCCTCCTGGGATGTGGTTCTGGAACATTCTTCCTTCAAAGCTCCACAAGAGTGTCACCTACTCCTCATTCTTTTGTCTCAGCTCAAACCTCACCTCTGTGAGGCCCTCCCAGACCACCCAGCCACCCTCCACCCTTCACTCAGCTACCCTGTTTTCTTTCCTTCACAGCCCTTTGTGCTCTGTGAAATGCTCTTGTGTGGTTACTTCTTTACTGTCAGTCTTCCACAACAAAATGCAAATCCACGCGAGCAGGGAAACTTGCTTATTTTTCATTTTGTACCCAGTACACAGTCAGTATTTGATATAGATGTGTTGAATGACTGAGTACTTCACCTTAGTAGGTGCTATGGAAATCATCATGTTTCTCCTTTTGCTCTTGCTGCCAGGGAGCTCCAAGCCAAATACATGAGCTCAATCATAGCATCTTGGTTAATCCTCTCAGTTGGCATATCTGAATCCTCCTCCTGCCCTTGACCTCAATTTTCTACTTGGGTCTCTACCTGTTAACACTTTTTATTATTATTATTTATCACACAGTAAGCTGCCTTTAGGCTTTTGAGGGCCCAAGGCCAAGCACAGAGTGAGCCCTGCATGGTTCTCCTGAAGGCTCCTCAAATAGGTGGGGTCCTGGAGCCTATTCCACCCTACCCCCAGCCTTATCCTGGCACATTCACATGCAATCCACCCTGGCCTCCCTCTGTTCTGGTCTCTCCCTGCCCTGCCCCACTGCCATCTGTCCCTGCTCCCCACCCTCACCCTCTGGACTCTGGCAGGCATGTCTTCCTGGCCCAGCTCCTGGGCTGTGGACTGTGACCACGCATGTCTGCCCCAGGAAACCAGGGCAGCCAAGGACTGGGCTTCCTGCCAAGGCCTCGCACACCTCTCTCTCCCAGGAACCAGGTTTCAACCTCTTCCTGGTAATCTTTCATGAGCTGACAATGCCACAACTCCATCTAGAATTCTCACAGCTCGGGCCAGAGTCGGGAGGAGGGCGGGTAGCTGTGACCAGGAACCGGGAAGACTGACTGGATGCCCAGCCTGGGGTCTCCCTGAGGGCTGTTGGATTTCCTGGGTGACCTTGAGCAGGTGCAGCCTCTTTCTGGGCCTAGGCTTTTCCACCTATACAGGTGAGTGGGTGGGGGAGGGTTTGGTGACCTCTGGCATCTGCCATGGCGCTGAGTCTAAGATGAGCTGGGGGTCAGCGGTCCGGGCTCCCACACTGTTGGCATCCATGACCGTGCCCCCACCAGGGTGGGCTGGCAGCACCAGGTTCTGATGCAACCCCCCCAGCCTAGCTTCCTCTCTAGGGGAGCACCCCACAGAGGGGCCTCGGACCCTCAAGCACAGATGAGTGTTTGTGAGCTCTTCCAGAAAGAAGTCATAAGCAGGCGGCCTATAGGCCTGCTTTGGTCTGCAGGTGGGATTGAAAATCTTGAAATGAGTTGCCACTTTAAGAAACCAGGGACTGCCACTTACTAATCTGAATTTCAAACTGCTCTTTGAAAGCCAGGCCCCTGGCCACACTGGGCCCACGGCGGAGCTGAGTAGCAAGCCACCCACTTGGGAAGGGGCAGAAGCTCCCCAGTTGGCCCCCATACATCTGTCTGACAACTTGTTTATATTCTTTGCTTGGCCCTGGGGAGTTTCAAACTAGTTTTGGCCCAACAGTTTTCAACACGTCTTTAGCAGTAGAAGTTCTTAATACAGAATCTTAAACTTCAGACAAATATAAAAATAGACCTAAATGGGATAGCTTTGGTTGGATAGGACAAGGGGCTGGGGGGCCCTCACCCAGCATGTCAGCAAGGGTCTCTGAGGCTTGTTCATAGAACACATATTGAGGGGCACCTGGGTGGCTTAGTCGGTTAAGTGTCTGCCTTTGGCTCGGGTCATGATCCCGGGGTCCTGGGATCGAGTCCTGCATCGGGCTCCCTGCTCAGTGGGGAGTCTTCTTCTCCCTCTCCCTCTGCCTGCCTCTCTCTCTCTCTTCCTCTCTGTCAAATGAATAAATAAAATCTTTTTAAAAAAAATATAAATAAAGAACACAGATTGAAAGGCACTAAGGTAGAGGCCCAAAACACCTAGAAAGGTTCAAGCCCCACCAAATGGACATCCCTGCTTCCATACACCCAGGGACAGGGAGCTCACTAGCCCCTGGAGCAGCCTAGCCTATCCCTGGTATCTGCCTTTTTATGACACCTGTCTCCTTCTGTTGGGGACCACAGACTCTCATGCCCCGCCCCAGCCGCACGAGGGGCAGGAATGGAGCCCCTTTAGGCTGTGTTTCCTCAGGCTGAGCTGCCCCTGCTCTGGCCACCCCTCCTGGTCAGCAGCCCCCCAGGCCCCAGGCCCTGTACCTTCAGCTCGTTGAGATAGCGTCTTGTGTGCACCACCAGCAGGTCCTCATCCGAAGCCTCCCGCGCCTCCACCAGCATGCCATCTGATAGAAGCTTCTCTTCTGAAACCACAAAGTGGGCACCCTGCTTCCCTGATGACCCAAAGGCAGACCCAGCTCCAGACCACTCCTCCAGTAGGCTGCAGACTTAGCCTCTGCTAACCCTGCCCCAGTAGGAGGCGGGCAACCACTGGCTTCTGAGAACAGGTCGCGTCCTGGGCCAGGGTGGACAATGCCAGGCCCCAGGGCCCGAGGGCGTCAGACATTGGGCACGCAGTGATCCTTGTGTTTCCCAAACCACTGACGGCCGAGAGGTGAGCTCAGGTGTGACGGGATGGCTTTCAGAGGCAGGTGGCACACAGATCAATAATGTTGACTCAAGTGAGAAAAGCTCTTCTGGGTTCTCCCTGCACCTTCTGGTGACACCATGGGAGGCTCAGTACGGTGTGGCCTCTCTTTAAGGCCTGCCTAAACCCTTGCTCATCTCCCTTTTTTAACCCAAAAAGTAGCAGTCTCGCAGACTTCCAGGCAACAGTAAGCAGCCTGAAGTGAATTAAGTTTTCCTGCATTTATTTTTTTAACCATGACCTTCTATTTGTGGCAAGTGAAACTGGCTTTTCCCATTTAGATGATATAATGTTTCCTTTTAAAACAAGTTTATTTAAGTTTTTTTTTAAAGCAGAGGCTAAGTCAATTAAAAAAATATATATGAAGTAAATAACGGAGCAGGTGGTATGGCAAGGTCCCAAGAGCAGTTTGCAAATAATTGATGTTTGGGAAACACTGCAGTATTTTATCAGCCCTCACATCCACCAGACAAGATTTGCTCTGTTTTGCAAAAAAAGACACTGAAGCCAAGAGCAGGAAGTGCTCTAGGGCACAGTGAGAACAGGACCATCCTGCTCTGGGCTCTAGGGAAATCAAAGGGACAAGGTCAGAATCTAAGGAAAACTCTTAATGTGTAACCCATAGAAGCCAATAAGTCCCATACATTTCCCACATACAGCTCCACATACAGAAGGCACTCTCTACTCTCCCCTTTCCCCCTAATAACATTCCATGGCTCCCCACTGCCTTCGGGGAAAGGGCCAGCTCTTTTCTTGGCAGCACCCAAGGCCCTTCACCAAGTGGTCCCTGCCTCCTTTCCACCCACATCCTCAGAGGAGAAAGGAGAGAACTCAGGAAGACTGTCAGCTCAGAGATGAGGGAGACAAGGAACCCTATGTTGAGCTGCTGGGTAACACAGGATCCCAAGAAAGGGCAAGGGGAGGAGTGACTCAGGCCAGGTCTGCTGGAAACAGAGCATGAAGGACCATAGTCAAGAAGGCAAGAGACCTGCAAGGTGACCAGCAGGCTGGCCCCACCCACCTCGCTGGGTTTCTCACCGTCCTGGCACCCCGCTTGGACTCTTTTCTACTTAATAGTTTTCAATACTCACTCTGGTCACAATTGTAAATGGAAAATCAGTATTGGTTGCCACAAATAGAAGTTAACCAAAAATAGAAAACATATATGATAGAAACAAACTGTTATTAATCTGTAATTTGATTCTATTTTCTGCAACATGCAGAGCCTGCGGCTTGCTCTAGATTTGTTAAAGGGGGAGATGGGCTTCGGTATTAAAGACAGGCTAGCCCCATAGTGAAACTTTCTCCATGGCGTCATCAGGATTGTGTGATTTAAAGATACACCATGCCTCATCCTATGCCAGGTAATATTCCCTACTTCTGTCAATTAAAGAACCCCTAATGCAGGGGAAAGGGAGAATATTCTCCCACTAGCCTACTGTGATGCCTGAATTTCCCACCTAAACCAGACCCCTGGATCACAAGCCAAAGTTGAAACCACACTCCAGAGCACCACCGTTCTCAGCGGAACAGCTGTGAAAGGTGGGAGCCTAGAGCTCTGAGTTCCAGAGCCCACTCTGCCCCTTAGTAGCTGTGTGACTTTGAGCATATTCCCTAACCTTTCTGGGCTCCAATTTCCTCCATCTGTAATCAGTAGGGTTGGAGCAAAGGCTCTCTACCTCTTGGACTCTCCGAGTTTGTGGGGGACGGACACTGGATTCCTCTAAACTTCAGCTTCCCTGTGTCCATCCTTAATCAGCTCCCCTTCTACTGGCCTCCATGGACAGAGACAGGACTTAAGCCCACAGCGAAGGGGAGCACTGAAGGTTTGAGACAGGGACATAGCATGCTCAGAAATCTGTGTTGCAAAGCCCCTTTGCCAGCATGGTGGAAGGCAGTCTGAGGGCTGAGCCTGGAGGTAGGAGACTGTGGCTTGTGTCAGGGAAGACACAGGCAGGGGCCGGGGGCTGGGGTCGGGAGGTGGGTTGGAAGAAACAGATGTAGGGTCTCATAGGGCCTTCCATACCTTTTAGGAAGCTGATCACTTTGCCCCATTTTCCCGCGTCAAAGGGGTGCAGTTTCTCCAGGCCCATGAAGGTTATGTTGTAGCGTGGTGAATACACGATGGGCCAGCGTGTCTCCGGCACATGCTGGTACAGTTGAGTTGCGTGTGGCCTTCCGTGTGCCCAGGGACAGACACACAGGGAGGGGCAGTCTCAGTGTGGAAAGCAGCCTCCTCCTCCCTACCACCCCGCTTGGACTGACCACACAACCCCGACCCAGTACCACTAGCTCCCTCAGCTGCAGGAAAAGGGCCACTTAATATCAGTAACAACAGTCGTGAAAGCAGCTCCTTACTGAGCATTGGCCCTTTCCCTGCACTATCCAACCCAAACCTCACCGGAGCCCTGGAAGTAGGCACCACCACCCCAACAGAGGCTTGGAGAGGGAACCAGGCCTGCCCAAGGTCACACTGCAGATCTGTGCAGCACCCGATGTTCACCAAGGTGCATCTGGCTGCAAGGCCTCAGCATCTCACTTCCACATTATAACAATCACGCTAAACAGCTGTATGTTTCCTTAACTGTAAAATATGTGGCTATCTTGAGATAATGCGTCCAAACAGCTGAGCACAGAAAGCTCCCTATCCCTGAGAGCTGGGGGTGGGGGTGACGGTTCCCAGAAACAGCAGGTCGGGGTTCACGCAGGCTGTGGCCCAACCCGCAGCCAGGGATGGAGATCACCTCAGCCTTGTCGCGCAGCTGAGCCCCCTCCCCACCCCATTACACCTCTGCAGCCGCCGCCGCATCGGGACCAGAAACCTGGCTTCAGCGGCTGCCACTGTGAGGGGCCTCCGCACAGCTGGTGGAGCCCGGGATAAGACAGACGTCAGACCCGCGCACGTCGCCGGCCCTCGCCCAGGTCGGAGCCCCGTGGACCGCACCTCGGACCGCAGAGAAGTGGCGCGGGGCCGGCCTGGGCTCACTCGGCCTGAGCGGCCCCTGCCCGCGGTACCTGGGCACGCACCTGATGAGCCCGCCGGGTAGCCCGCGCACTAGTGCTCCCGCCCACAGGGACCCCTGGGAACCCCGGGGGCTTGGATTGGCGCCCCACCCCGCGCCCCCACCCCTGCCTCACTCACATCCCGGGGCCGGGCCCTCCCTGCGCTGGCCACTGCTCCGCGACCGGGCGGGGCGGGGCACGGCCCCGCCCAGGACACGCCCCCGGCCTCGGCCTCCTCCGCTGGGGGCGGAGCTCTAGCAGTCTCGACTCCGCCCCGCCCGCGCCCGCGCCTGCGTCACAGAGGGATGAAGTCCCGCAGTGAGCGCGCCCGCGGTTAGGAGGCCACGCCTCCAACTGCCATCAAGCACGAAGTCCCGCCTTCCGCAGACAAATGCCCAGTGGAATCCCCTGGCTCGGAAAGCCACGCCCCCTAAGGGGAGGGCCGCGCGAGTTTTTATCAAGGCGCGCCACAGAGGTTTGGAACGTGCGGAATCGCCCCGCCCCCAGTCGACCCGCGCTCCTGCTCTCTCCTAAGGCTAGGACTTAGGGATGCCTGGGTTCCCGGCGGACTCTGCGGCAGACGCGCTGTGTGACCTTGGGCAAGCGTCCCCGCTCTGGGGCCTCCGTTTCCACGAGTAAAATGGGATGGGGGTGCTCTGGCCCTGCAATCTGTGACCTAAAGAAATCCATGACCTCTCCGACTTGAGGCCACAGGCGTGCCCTCCCCGCCCCATCTTTGGCGACCCCAAGGTGAGACAAACTCCCCACACGTCATTTGGGCTCTCTGAGCCTCAGTTTCCTCGTCAGTGGAGCCGCGCTGGAGATCCAATCTTAGGGGTACAGCCGGGTATCCGTGCTTGCTCCCTGTCCCTCCCACCCCGATCAAGACACGCCCTAGCGACAGCTGGGAGTGCCTTGGGGCTGGACCCTGGGACTAAGCTCCAACAATAGAGCCCCAGAATACAGAGACAATGGGCCCCTCTGTTGGCCCAGCTGTCCCCTGCAGCCAAACAAGCAGCTGACCCCGAGGGCTGCCAGGAGCAGGGTAGCTGGGATCCCTGGTGGCTCCGTGAGAGCGCCCTTGCGCGTGACAGAGTGGGCCACCGGGAAGGGCACAGACGTTTGAACAGTGCCCTCCAAGTGCCTGTCACTTGATTGCATGATGGCATTGGATTCTCGCAACCAAATCCTAGGAGGGGTTGCTGTCATCACCCCAGCTTTTTCATGAGGCGAGCTGAGGTGCAGGTCTGGATTAAACCTAGACTAGGCCACCTGTCAGCACCATGGCCTTGGGCAAGTTGCTTTAGCTCTTTAGTCCGCCATTTATGCATCTGAAAATGAGGTGATGCCTTCTCACCTACTTCATGGGGAGGTTAAGATCTTCAAAAGAATTAGTAATGCTGATTATTATTTAAAGAGCTCCTCCTGTCTGTTGGGTTCAATTCTAAGAGCTTTATGATCATTTAATCCTTGTAACAACCCTAGGAGGTGAACAATGGTTATCCCCATTTTACAGATGAAGAAACTGAGGCACAGAATGGTGAAATAACTCACCCAAAGGTCAAGGATGTGGACAGCCACAGAAGGAAAAAAGTAATATTTAATAAAACAGGCAAGAACGTGTGTGCAGTAACCCTGTTTCATTGTGAGAAGTTCATCTCAGGGAACTTGCTCTGTGGTTTGGAAAGCCACGAAGATAAGCCTGTTGTTGGGAGAACAAGGTTCTTGGGCAGGCTGGACTGGGGAAGCCACAACCAAAGACAGTAGGATTGCTCTGGGTAAGAGGGTTTTTTAAGTTGTCCCCTGTGTGGCTGAGGAGCGAGGTGGTCTGAGGAGCCCCAGGGGCTTGGGAACACCTTCAAACCACCGTGCCAGCCTGGGCCGCTGACCCCCACCATCACCTGTGGGAGAAATAAACTAGGTTATTCATACTGTTTGGAGGCCCTCTGTTAAAGCATCCTAGCATGTCCACTCACCAAGACACTGCACTGGGACACAGGAGTGAACCCAGCAGGCAAGATCTGAGAGACTTGGTCAAGCTCACAGTGAAGTGAGAGAGACAAATCTCAAAGTAGGAAGCAATCATAAATTGCAAAATATAAGTGTTGTGAAAGGCAAGGCTGAGAGGTGGGAGAGAGTGATGGTGCCTCCTGATTTAGACAGTGGTCATGAAGGCACCTTGGAAGAGATTGTTGTTTTCCACTTTTCAATCCTGTAAATCTTTTTTTTAAAGATTTTATTTATTGACAGAGAGAGACACAGCGAGAGAGGGAACACAGCAGGGGAAGTGGGAGAGGGAGAAGCAGGCCCCCCACTGAGGAGGGAGCCCGATGTGGGGCTCGATCCCAGGACCCTGGGATCATGACCTGAGCCGAAGGCAGACGCTTAACGACTGAGCCACCCAGGTGCCC